TGGCTATCACAGTTTCAAGGATTAACAGGAGCTCACAAAATACCTGATTCTTTTGCTGTCTCCATTTTGAGGAAAGGCTTTGGTGGGCTGTAATTACATTTCACCTACTCTGGCTGCTGCTCTCTGAGTCTCCCTCCTCGCTACCCTCCGGAAGGGTTCTTTGCTGTTTTTTAATGAAATAGCCTGAACAAACATAAAGCTTCCAGTGAGGTAATGTGATGTTGGTTACTAAGCAGCCTTTGTAAAGAGCATGCACTGCTTAAACCCCCTCCCCCTTTTATCACTTAGATGTTATCTGCACAACAGGCCCAGTTGTAAGTAAATGCTGACACTACAATATGAGCGCACTTTAGCTTTCTGCTCCCACATTATGCTTTTAACACGCTACTTATTTTGAGGGAACTGAGCAAAATGATGGTGATGATTCTTAGCTAAAAATACCTGGTGCATACTATCCAAGAAATCTAACAAAAACATTAAATATGTCCCAGGAAATAAAATTTATAGTGCAGGAAAGGCTTAGTGACTTCATTGCTCAGGTTACCAGCTGGATATCAGTTTCATCATCAGCAACCTCCAATTTCCTGTTTTGCTTATCGTAGAATTACTGTTTTCTTTTTTTAATGTTTGCACAGCCCATATGGCAACAGCTACACTAAGATTAGATACAGGGGATTTCTATGGTGGGTTAAAGACCATGTTTGTTTTATGATATTTTAAGAAATAATAAAAAAAATTGTCAGGAACTGAATGTATATAAAACACAAATAGTTCTTATATGCTTTTCTTTTTTACCATTGGAAAAAGTATGATTCATGGCAGTATGTGCATTAGTACTCCGTAATCATTGCTGATTTGTGTCCCGCTTTGGAACTGTTCCTTCTTACTGACTAATAAGTGCCACTAGACCTCTGGCAGTTCATAAAAACATTATATACTTCTAGTCTTTCCAGAAACTTGCTTACCTCTTCTGTCTTTACCTGTATGAATCAGACACTGTCATCTCTTTGTGCTTAAAAACTTTCCTATTAATCTTACAAGTTGCCTGGTCTTGCAAAAGCCTGACCCACTACATTGTTTCACTCACCTATGAATTTTCCTTATTGCAGAATGAATTCTTTTTCAAGAATAAATGTATGTATTTGTCATTCCCAATCATTCTGTGAAACTGTAGCTTTTTTCTCTAATGCAGAGCTTCAAACCTAATTGATAAATCTCCTCAAAATTCCTCTCAAGCTGTAACATCTCATTGGCCTCTCTCAAGTTCCTCAGGAGGATCCTGAGCAAAAGGTTTGATGTTGCCTGGAGATTGTCTAGCCAGACTCACAAGGGTCGCTGCCAGGGACGTTTGGGCTGCCCAGGAAAGGAATTTTACCTAGGATCGGTGCACCGGTTCTGCATATCTCACAGCTTTAGGTCGGGCCTGTAGTTCCTTTACTGAATTTTAATCTAACTTCTGAGAAGTGCAGCACACTGCATTCAAAGCAAAATGAGAACTTCCCTCCAAGTGACTAAAATCACACTTACAAGGTCTCTGTAGGGAAGGAAGAGAAAGGAAAAATATGTGATCAATTTGTGGGTCAGCAGGTGGTGACAGTGTGGCGTTATTAGATAATGCATATTCACCAAGTGTGCATATTCACTGTGCCAGAGGAATAAACACATTTTCAGTTGTTATTTAGGATTAAAAATAGGAGGATAATAGAAGTAAAACTGCTTATTGAAGCAGTATGAACCTGACTTAAAGAAAACAAATCTTTTAGTCACCTTTACCAATTGATTGGCAAATGTTTTAATGCTGTATTTTTCATTTAGAAAAAACACACTGTAAGATATGCTGAGATGCAAAAACAATATTAATGCACAAAATAAATTCAGCTTCATGACTATATTCAGAAGCTATAAAAATGCAGTAGATTTATAAATGCAGAAGCCTACAGAAAATTTCTCCTGTCCTCTTGCAAGCATCAGAATCTCCTGGTTGAAAAGTAAACATTAGCTAACAGACGTTCAAACTAAAGCAATAATTACTTGTGCAAGTTATTATTTCCTATTTGCAAGATCTGACGTTGTCTACTTAAGCAGTTACAATACAGTTTTGAGGCTATCTTCTGCTTCTTTTCCTTGAAGAACAATGTGGCAGTATTCAGAAAATTTCCCCCTCTGGTGTAGGTGAAGTTCAGTTCACAAGACCATGTGTACACATAAAACTTCCACATTCATCAGTTCGGGAAAACAGACTACCCTTTTGGGCACTTAAACTCAGAAAGCCAGGATCAAGAAATTTTGAGCAGAAGTCCGAGTGCAAATCCTTCTCCCACATCTCCTTTGCTTTTGTGAAAAGATGAACTTTCCAGTGGGCATTTTGCAGGCAATTCTGCCAGTTGGAATAACAGTGGAAAATAGTAGCAATGTTTGAAAATCTGTCACCTAGGGTCCCCAAAAAGGCAATCTCTGCAGCTTTTATTGCCAACACCAAATAATACACTTCATAAAAGAGGGAAGAGAAATTGCATGTGTACACATGCCCACAGTTTTTCCTGTCTTCCCTCACTCAAACTTACTTCTCTATCCTGTCTCCCATGTGAAGGTAGCTGGTACTTGCATGTATGCAAGTAGGAAGGACTTCAGCCCCAGGTCATCCTGATCAGGATGTTGTTAGCATGTATAACAGAAAAAGGATTAGAAATGATCTGCGCTACAGAGGAGGGCTTCTTCTCTCTTCTTCTCTTCTCTTCTCTTCTCTTCTCTTCTCTTCTCTTCTCTTCTCTTCTCTTCTCTTAGAAGAAGACACAGGGGCACCCTTTTGCGAAGTGTTATCTGCTTAATTCCAGCTAATCTATCTTCCTGAACCTTTTGGTGAGTTTGAAGTATCCAGCATTAATGCACAGCCAGTGGGGGAGGAAGAAAAGGTGGTTCTGGTGCGACACCAGAATCTGCAGTGATTACAGGTCCAAGAAACTCACGTTCAGTGCAAGCGACTGATGGGAGACTCTTTCTTTTAAGCAGTGCTGAATCACCCTCAGAAACCTACGCTCTACTTATTAGGCAAAGAAGAATACAATCATATGCCCCTCTACCATGTAAGTAAGCGCACCACGTGTGCACAGGTCTTTCACAGGCTCTGTGAATTTTCCAGCTATGAGCGGAAAAGGAGATGCCAAAATGACCACATTAAGGTTTCCGTGAGGTACCAAATACCCCATGAAAATCTTGCTTGCCTGTTCAAATAATTCAAAACTAGATCAATGCATCAAAACACTGCTTTTAATACACACTAACCTACTCGTTTATTCAGTAGCATTTGGATAATTCAGATTCTGTCAAATCTGCGTATTGCCCTGGACCCTCTCCTCCCCCAGCCCTGGGCTCATCGGTGGGGACCCAACTGCCCCCTCAGCTTGCATGGAAAGAAAATGATTCCTGTTTTCACGTGCTAAACACATGCACATGCTCAAAAACGTATGTGGTCTTACCTCCACATTGCTACTAAGGATTGCCACTCCAACATAGTCTCTTTTGCTCTTTAACTGTATTTTATTTCAACAGGTGCCTTTTCAGCGGAGCAGCAATTCAGCTAGCACTCACCTCCCATCATGGCACACGTCTGCAGACCTGCAGCTGCTTATGCCAAGCCACATTTGTCCTACTTACTGTATATTCAGATTGCATTTCTGGTAGGACTTACTACTGAAGAAACGGGTCAAGCACGCAGGAATTTTTGACAAAGACTTCTTTAAAACAGCCCTATCAATCTATTGTGTACTGTATTTCACTCACACATTATGAAATAAGACTAGGGAAAATGTTCATCTGTGAAAAATTCCCCGAAGAGAGGCACGTCAAGACCGCTAGTCTTTCCATATTGTTATGAATGAAACTCAAAGTTTCAAGTATCAACCCCCAAAAGAAATCGCTAGGGATTTCCACTGATTTCCACCCCCTCTCAATTTTAAAGTAACTGCATTAAAAGTATGTGTATTTATACATTAAGGCATAATGCACACACACACACAGAACAGCGACTGCTGCTCCTGATGCAGTGAATGACCAAAAAATTGGCTGTGGTTCAGAGAATACTCCATGTTTTGGAGACTGTCATGACAGGCAAGGATTAGATTTTACATGAGTGGTGATGAGGATACGTCTACTGACATGTGGGGGCTGTGTGTTTTCTTGCCAACGGGCCTGAGCCACATAATTCATCCTTCTCACTGAGAAAGGAGCACATCAGCTACAGAGACTCCCTGTTTACACAGGGAGGACTACACAGTGCACAAATGGAGCGCAGCTATATATTGAATCCAGCATGACAGATTATTAAGGCTGCTTTTCTCCCTGTTAATTATTTAGAATTTCTTACCTTTGCAGCTGGGACTGGCGTCGCTACAGCAACTGTGCTCTAGCTTGTCAGTAAGCACACATAGCAGACAACAAAAACCGACCCCCCCCCCCCCCCGCAGATGTATAAATGTACAGTTTTGAGATATTTTAAATGCATATTTTGTTTCAAGAGTCATCATCGCTTCTTAATCAGTCATTACTGCTGGGTTATAAGCAGTCCTGTATAGGCCATGTTTCCTTAGTTTTTGTATAATCACTCCAAAATATATATTTTTTTTAATTTCTACTTTTCATACCTTGAGAATGTATTCCTGTGGGACACAGGGCACCCAGATAAGTATGGGAGGGGCTGCAGCATCAAATATCCCAACAGAAGTTGGTTATCACCAGTCAATAAATACAGCTTTATGGTGAATGGTTACTTTTATATACCTTATCTACAGAACAGTAAAAATATGAAAGGTGAAATGTTTCTATTCTGCATTATATTGGGTATATTGCTTTACCATTAATATTTTTAGAGAGTTTATTTAAAGAGAGTTACTGGCAGTATGTTGTTTTTGTAGAGTGTAGATTGTGTGGACTGGACATATTTTTATTTTAAATCAGTGTATTTTTTTAATTGATCAGCAACGACCATTTTTTTCTACTTACAGATGTAGTGCAATACTTAATGAAGCTGGCAAGCACATAAAAAGCCGTGGTAAGTTGTTTCAACTTCTGTCAGAGTGACTGTATGACCAGGCGGGTTTATGTTTTGGAACATTCCCCCAAGCCATGCAAGCCATGATGGGACTTTTGGTCTGTGCAGCATATAGGTACGCTCATGAGCAATTTCTGTGCCTCCCCTGCCTTCTTTTTTAACCAGCTCAAATAAAATAAAACTGAACCTAGATGCTTATGCCAAACAATAAAAACTTGAGATTAGCAGGCTTTAAAAATGTTATCTGCCATTCCAGCCCAGCAATTTTGGATTTCCGGGTTTGAGTGAGATCACGAGGGATAAAAGAGATACAATAAAAGGGAGTGTTCTCATGATATTTCCAGAATGGCCAGACAGTAAATCTCACTAGGCAAATAGATTTCCAGCATACCTCTAATGTCCAGAGGTCTGAATAAACAGAAAAAATTTATTAGGATTCACTCATCACTTGGGCTGAGTGTGACCCTGTGCTTGTGTTGCAAATGCAGGCATGGCTTGTAAACGATCTTGTAATCTTTGGTTTTAAGTTTGTGGTTCAAACGAGATCAAAACCTGAAAACCAGAAACTTAGCTACTACCTTGTTTTGTTCCGGTTTCCACCCCAGGTAATGATTTAGCTCATGCTTGCTTGAACCTTAGCCTGTGCTTACCAAAAACTTGCCAAACCTAGCTCAAATGTGGGGTTCATCAGAAGCATCATGGTGGCAACCAGAGTCAGGATGCAGTGCCATGGTATTAAGCACTATAAACTAACAATACCTATTCGAAGAATTTTAAAGGTACTGCGAAGCTTCTTTTATTAGAAATGGCACAAAGCTACAATAGGAGGAGAATTCTGTTTGGGAAATACAGGAGACCTGCAATATTTTCTAAGACAGCGAGAGCATGTTTTGGGAAAATAGCTGCACGTGTGGAACACTTTCCTCTAGCTCTGGTAGTCAGGTTTTAAAAGGAGTGCGATTCATTTAATATACCCTGTGAAAGCATCAAAAAGGGAAGACTGACCTGTAACAATAAGGGCATGTCTGCACTGGAAACCAGCTGCGGATTTGGTGCATTAAAGGATCCACAGCAGCTGCTGTGCAGGCAGTACAGTAACACACCACGTATTCCCATCCTTATGGGAATAGTGCTTCTTGCACTAGGTCTTTGAGTGTCTCAATAGAGAAAGGGGTATTTCTCCATAATGCAGCAAAGTCTTGTTAATCACCATGGAAAATGTCCCCAGGCTGGGTTTTTGGGAGGATACTATTATCCTTAGAAGGCTGAATTGCTTTCTGCCATGAGAAACAGGTCTGCTATTTCTCCAGTCCTTTGGAGGAATCCCATTTAACCTTTGCCGTGGTGGCCTGAGGAGCTCTTTATTGGACTCTCAGGCAGAAGAAAGGAGGGAACGGTACCTTGGGCAGCTGCAGATTTCCCATGGAATGCATGTGTGGGAGCGTGAAAGGTTTGCCTTTAAGGTCTGAGGCCAATAAAGGCCTGCTACAGCAGCTGCTTCACAAAAGGAAAAAAGGCTGTGTGGTAATTGACAGGAAAAAGGGACTTTGGTGCATAAACTGACAGAGAATAGTGCCCTAAGAACTACTGCCATTGACTTAGGACCCAAGATGCAGCAAGCATATAGCTTTATACATATGCAACCCGAAATCAAAGACTGTCTAGTCTATGAGATTAACAGCCGCCGGATCTAGCTGAGGCCACAGCACCACTGGTCACAACACTGTTGGCCACAATAGAAATGGTTAGTAGAAGATGGTTGCTCTCTCGAGGGGAACCAACAAAGGAGATGAAAGATGCTGGAAAAAACCAAATGCCAGTGTTCTTGCTGCCCCCTCTTTACAACTGGAAAGCTGAGGCAGAGCAAGGTTAGTTTGATCCATGTCGCCTACAGAATCTGCTGCAGACTTTAGAACCATATCTGGTATCTACAGTCTGGGTCCAGGTCCTTTAATATAATCCCACCTCCCTGCTTCCTGCTTCATTGAAGTTGCTTGGTGGAAGTCTGAAAAAACATTGCCAAAACAGTTGCCTCACTATGTATTTTTTATTCATTCATATTTCACCCCTGATTTTTGCTAGAAACCACAGCTTCTCCAGCCTAGGGATTCCTTTTGACACTGCAATAACAAAACACATTTCACTCATCACTTTCTCCCAATGGGAATATCGTGTACCACGCTTGTATCTTCCGCGTGCTGGAAACACTCTGCTCGAGATTCAGGACTCACAGCTCTAACGCACGTTTCTTATCTGTGTCAGACTGGGTAGGCAAGAGTTTATGAGGAAAGAGATGCAATCTTTTTTTTTCTTTCTTTTTTTTTCTCCCACCTTCTCTGCCTCCAGATCTCACCTCCCTGTTCTAACAGTCCACGTAATAGTAGAGGGAGAAAGAGAGGGAGACACTTAGGATGGCTGTTGTGCTAAAAATGAGGTGTCTCTAAAAGGAAGCCCTTCTCACCTTACAGTGTTTGCTAATTTTCTCCACTAACTGTAGTGATGCCACTGAGAAAAAAAAGTCAAAATGTATTAGAACAGCCACAGCCATCAGACTGTAAGGCAAGCTAACTGGGAGTAAGGATCCTGTTGAGTTCAACGAGTTTTTTGTGATTTCCAACGCACTATGAAAAAATGCCTTCAAATTACCCAAGAAGTATGTTAATAGCTGACTAATGCACAAGCTGGCAGGAATCATTGCTGCCTGAGCACGGCTCATTAATCTTACCTTTCATTAAAAAAATTCCAAACTTTTTAATAAACAATTTTTATTTAGGAAGTAAAGAACAGTGGAGTACGTTTTTTGCTAGGCAAGTGAGCTCCCTATGAAAATAAAACATTTCTTTACATTTTTTGCATGTAAAGCCATCTTTCTTCCATCATTAGGTTTGGAAACACATGGAGTACTTTCCACTTCTGTAATTTCTCAGGACTAATTTTTTAATCTTTCTTTTCACCTTTGCAGCTTGTCCTTCCTAAGCTGAAATCCTCTTGCTGCTGATACCCAGCCCGTTTCTGCACGAGGCAGGCGGTGTTTCTCTCTGGTGAGGGGCTGGGGGCTGCTGGGGAGCAGAAATGAGAGGAGAGAGCTTCTTGCTGACAGCTGGACAAGACGCTGCACGCTGGCCCGCAGCACTCAAAGTACCACTTCACATCAGTTCAGACCCAGTTGTGGTCCTGTTTCGACACGAGAAGAGACCTCGGGGGCCTCCTGCTTCCCTGGCCTCCCGGGAAATGTTGCACTCCGGCTTTGTGAAACGGATATCTGGGACAATTTTTTATGCTGCAGCAATTGCCGTCATGTTCCCTTTTGCCTGTGGTTGTGGTCTGAAGTGCTGTAGTTGAACAGATAGCTCTGTCCAGCCTTATTCTTTGGGACCCCTTCATCTGTACAGCATGGCTTACTCAATGCAGTAGTGAAAATGAAAGATAAACTGCATTATCACTAGTAGTCACAGAAACATGATTGTTTTCAGCGATGTTTTGTCAATAAACACTAGGGCAGAACAACTTAACATCAGATATTGCAAAGTCCTGATTGCACAGAACAGAGAGGTAGAAAAAACATGAAAAAACACCTGATCAGTGTTATCACTGATATTTTACATTCACGCACATCTCAGTACAGACATATACTAACTTTTCTAGGTAAATGCTCCTGAAGGTTTCTACAATAATTTTATTTGCCTTTCAAAACAACCCAGGCTTCAGGATTTATTAATGCAGCAATTAGTATGCTGATCATGCCCAGCATGCTTAAATCTTTATTGGCTGTATGCACCACCGAAAGTTTTAGTTTTATTAAACCTGAGCCTTCTACATACTGCTGTTTAGTGTGTGTTACAAAACTAAGATCAGCTCTGAATGTAATGTAACCCACATGTTGGATTGCTTGCTCCAGTGACTTACAGAAATATTTCAGGTAGCAAGTATTTTCTTAGTACTCTGTTATAAAAATATGTCAAGCACACAATGTTTGCATTATATGTTCCTTTTCTGTTATAGAAAAAGAATTGTGCACCAAACCCTGTACTCCACCCTGTTCCTCACAGAACAGTCATTTTCACCAACTGTGTATCAAACTACCATGAAGCATCATGTTTCAGTGAAGATTTTGAGGTGAGATAGACAATAGGTTAAATTAGAGTACGGTTATCTTCATCATATGTAGATAGATAGATAAATAAGTAGATAAAGTGCATACTATATCTGCAAAGCAAACTAGACATAGGTTGTAGGTTTTATTCACATGTAGGAAGGGACAAGTGCAGCTGAGATTTTTTTTTTCCCCATCAAGTGCCAGAGGCTGTAGGAAATCTGCCAGGCATGATGCTAGGCATATTGATCTTTGCAGAATCGTCTTTCTTTCATACCGTGAAGACAAAAATGTCAGCATGATGGAGCAGTCTCCTGAGACGCCCTGGTCTGAGCCCCTCAAGTCAACGCTGTCCTGCCCACTGACTTGCAAGCACCAACTGGACTTTTCCTACAAGCACAGTTCTTCCCCCACCACAGCATCCAGCTGCAATACTGGTGTTTACATCATCCATAGGAAAGAGAAGATCCAGGGCTGATATGATCTGTAAAAATAATTCTAACAGGTGATGCAGAGGCTTGGCCAGGTGGTTTATTCCCTTACACTATACAAAGAAGAGGCAATTTGCCAAGTTTGTTTCAGATTCAATCTATGGCAATTTATACAATTAATCTGCCTAATGGAGCTAGTCTAAAGAGACTTCTAACAACACATGAGTTGCCTCCTGTAATGTACAGTTTCATTTCGGTTCCAACAGATAGACTTTCAGACTTTAACTGCAGGTGACGTCCCCAGCCATCGATCCCCTTTCCATCCCAGGTTATCATCTTCTGTAAAAGTGGAAGAGGAGATGGGTTTGCTGTTGTGCTTATGCTGTTGGCTGCCTGGCACACTGATCTGATACAACGTGCGGACACTCTGCTACCTTCTGCCATCTCTGCTACGGCAAGAGTCTCCCACCTGGGTCTTGTCAACACTAACATCCAAGGGGCCCTGGCTTTTATGTTAAATTTCTGTGGCAGGATTTGCCAAAGTCTCTCTGTCAGAGCCCCCTTGAGTGCAGGATTTAGGACTGAGGGCAGATGGAGAGCTCTGCATTTGCAGAGCAAGAACAGCACAGGCAGTCCAGGATTCATCAAATTACACTGCCAAAAGGAACCTGAAGCCCAGCAGAGGAACCCTACTGCCCCACAACTCTGTAGCCGAAATTCTACATTTAAACATATTGCACTTATACTGTTATACTGAGATAGCTGGCAAAGATGTTCTCCAGGAGAAAAAAAAATTAAAAAATAGATAACTCTTGGAGGTAGCCAACAAATTTCTGCTCCATCAGCTGAATACATTTGAAAGTCAACACACTCAGGCTTTGTTGGAGCTAATTCCAGCACTTAGGATTTAACTGCGAATCCCCCTCCCTTACCCATAAATACACACATTTAAATGTGTTCATTTGAGTGTTTCAAGTCATCTCAAATTCCATGGCATCCACAGAAAAAAAGCCAGTCTAAAGTCAACAAAGCCCACAATGACGTTGTAAAAAGAGGTGTTATTGGGAATTAATTTCTGTTTTCTATGTTATATCCACTGCTTTTTGCACAATTGCTAGCCCTGAAAACCCAGGGCCCTTAAAGTTAAATTGGGTTTATCTTCTTTGTTAATCATCATAAGGAGAAATAGAGTTTTTCAGATTTGGTAGAGCTCTAGTCAGGCTAAACAGATTATGAAAAATTCTAAAAGAGTTAAATTTGATGTAAAACAAGTGTTTTGGGATTTAAGCATGGGTTCTTCTCAAAATTCACAATGATTGAAATCCAGATAGTCGCAGCAGACAACGTGAACGAAACCCCAGAACTGCTAAAACCAATGGTAACTTGGCTATCAACTGGAGCAGGATTTTACATGCTGTATCTGCTCCCGCTTCAACATCTTCCATCCAGCCTACTAGATTTATTTATTTCAGTCATATCTGTATTGAATCTGGGCCAGTTAGTCCACTTCTTTTTCTCTTATAAAGAACATGCACAACCTTTGCTACCACAGAATAAGTAATTCATAGATCAGGACTACGTTCCCACCCTCCTTCCAACCTTCACACAGAGCAACAGGGCTCCGAATGGCTTGGTGGCTTTCCAAAAACTGCAGAGGGTGACTAAATGAGCAAGAAGGTAAACCTAAGTTCCTCCAAAACATACGCTAGTGCCTGAAACCCCTTTCTTGCTGATCCAGTTCTTCATGGTGGCTGCACAGTGAATGCATGCCTCAGATAATGCAGGGATGATGCCTGGACCTGAGCTGGGTGGCACCCACTTGGAGGTGCAGTAACCAAGCCTGGGCATCCCAGGGATGGGGGCATGCTGCAGAGCCCGGCCTTGGAGCAGCCTACCTGAGGAGCTGAGCTAAAGCAATGAGATCAAAACAGGTGGGGAGGAGGAGGATTACAGCTGGATGTGACTGGTAGAGTTCAAAACATGAACCTCCACAATTGCGTTGCTGTTACTGGTAGCATTTACTATGGGAGGACCAGGGGACCCACCAAAACGGACAGTGTCCCCAGTAAGGGGACACTGGCTGCTACAGTCCCTATAGTAAAGGTTATGAGATTCTTCAGTTTGATGTTTTGGGGACTCTGACAACCACAGGTGCATATTTACATGGAAAATAACCCTCTTCACTTTATCCCCCTGTATATTTAAGCAGCCCACTCGCCACCAACAGACTTGAACAACTTCCTCTCTACCTAGCCTTTCCTTCCGTCTCCACCTCCTCCCCTTAATACAAGGGAGTCCAGCTCCACCTCTGTACGCAGTTGTATAATTTTTCCCAGGTTAAATATCCCAGAGTTTTACATCTGTTCCTGACATTCCCAGTACTGGGCACCGGCAGAGAGAATGCTGGGACAGCTAACGATCATTCCCTCAGACGTCTTATTAGATCCTTTTGAGTGTAATACTGAGAAGATGATACTTTCAAGCCTAGTACTGTGCTGCTTTTAATAGCTTGCCTCATACAGTCCAAACAAGTTTAGCATTAAAATAAAATAATATAATAAGAAAAAGAAGTGTAGACATGTTGCCACAAAACCATCTGTTCAAACATCATCAGGAGGGGAAATCCTGCATTTTAAATAATACTTTCTACACTCTGGCATTACCGAACAGTCAGGTTTGCCTGCTGAAGTAGGTAGGGCTATTGTTAGAGAATTTTCTTTAAATAAATAAAGATTTTTTTGCAGCTTGTGTGAATGAGCTGAGTCATATTTAGTGGTTTATCCAGTTTATGCCTGAGTTCTTTCAGGACTCAGGTAGAGGCCAAAAGAGAAACAGAGTTATGCCGCACTCTTATTTCGTTCAATGTGGCTTTTGTCTAAGAAAAACAATTCTCCACCCTTCTGAGTAGGCACTGAAATTTTAAATTGTTGTCTTTACATCTCTTATTGAACTTTCATGGTATAGTTGTATGAAAGTTGAGCTGAAAGAGCACTTCTTCAAAGAGATGCTACCAAGAGTCCAATGTTGTCTGCAGTTTGCATTAAAGCCAGAGACTTTGTTTCATTTTCACTTACCGTGCAGAATCGTACATACTCTCCCCTTTTTTATCATCAGAGCTGAAGAAGAAAATAGGAGGTGAAGATGTGTGGGCAGCTATAGGATGCCCAAAATGCTTGACTGTTCCTGCAGGAGGGTGCAACTTAAGTCCTGCTTAATAACAGTGAAGCAAGTTCCTTGCTGGCGTGACCCGTTCAGCTGAATTCAGCCTCTCTTGTCTTTGTTAGCACTGGGAAAATAATTCAGATTAAGCAGAGTGTGACTTTGAAATAGCGTAGCTAGGCTGGTGCCTATCTCCCTGTGTGTGCATGGGTACGTCCGTCTCAGGTTGGAAGCAAATGGCTGAGTCCAAGGCGGAGGCGAGGGGGCCTGTGCAGCATCTGCAGCACGGCAGCTTGGCAGGACTGACCTCAGCAGCAGGAACCTCCTCCAGTGATTCATGTTAGCTTTTGGGAGCTTTGCCCCACATTTGGGTCCTCACACAGAGCCGCTTGTAGAGCACCACTCGCTCTCCATCACCAGGTGAGGAAGGAGAGGGTGGCTGATCTCTCCCTCCGACGCCGCATGCCTGCCTGCGCAGAAAGCAGGCAAGGGTCTTCCTACCACTCAGTGACAGGCACTAATCACCCTGTACTGCTCGTCTGTCCCTTCAGTACAGGCTATGGGAGCACAGCTTGCTGTGTGTTTCAGTCTGGCCTGCCCCAAAACGTTGGCTATATTATAAGCATCAATCCTCTTTAATATTTTTTTAAAGAAAATAAAAGTGTTTTTATCTAATGTATGGGATGATACTTTTTTCCTCCTACTGAGGAGGACTAGGACTTGAAATCACAAAAATACGTAAACATGCTCCAAGCTTTAAATACCACGGGGGATTTCTTCAGCACTCAAACATGTGTTAATGGATGAGTTTAAGTACGTGCCTAAGCACATTGCTGAATTGGGGCCTAAACCAGCATATTTTCCCTTTATTTTTATGAAATGTCTTTAAATACCCTTGCAAATAACTTGGTGAAACTTGACTTCACTGGAAAAACATTTACTGGAAATTATTTCTTAATTAAAATCTGAAACCATAATTTTTCATCTACAGATGATGTGCAAGATTTTTCCAGTGTGAATTTGATGCGGTACAGAATTTCAGGTATAGAGAAGAGAAGGAGGGGGGAAAGGTGGGCAGTCATCTGGAAACTGTAGGGAAATATGACAGAGGCAAGGGAAAGCAGCAGGCATATAAAACAAATATTATAAAAAGATATCCACAGGTTTCAATCAACAATTGCTGGGAAGACAATTCCTGGGAAAAATAATTGTTTCGTTGCTTCACGCTGAAATTTCCAAATAGATTCAGCAAGGGGTTTTTTAATATAAACTGTCCTTGGAAATTAGAGTTTCAAAATAGATACAGCACAGCGAGCATCTGGGAAGAAACTCAGCTGACTTCTGTGAGGTGCAGACTCTCAGAAATGCTGACTCTGTTTTAACGTCTTGCAGCCCCTGCCTCCCCCACCCTGCCCGGCTATTTCCTGGCTGCCGCTCTCCTGCTTGAATTGGAGCCCAACAAAGCAAACTGTCACAACAATTGCCACTCAAAACCTACATATTTCTCAAAACTGTATTGCACTCTTCCAGGTAACCAGCTTCTTTACTGCCCTGGGCTGCAAATGCTGAAGTAGATGTGAAGTATAATTTGATTGCCAGTCTACAAAGAGAGATATGAGGAGGTGCGGCTTTCTGCATGTCTAAAAGAAGACTCAGAGCGAAGAGTTCTCATCTGTATGCTGGGGAAACACCCATGTCACAGCTGAAAAAGAAAAATAAAATTACAGGATGAAATCTCCTCACGTGCAGACAGCATACTGCCAACGTCTGACATACCCACGGCTGAGTGTTTTCCAGCATTTGAAAGTGCAAGATACCAGCACCAACTGCCACATTCCTGGTACCAGTGAGATGCTACTGATGGAAACTATTTAACCCTCCTCTCCAGCACTCACCTTCAATGTTACAGCGGGAAAAAGGTACCTGCCCTTACAGATTTTATTACCGTAACTGCCCTGACATCTGCCGGGAGCATCAGTGGCCACCGGGGTTTGCCGTTGCCAGCATTCGGTGTGAGCAGAGCCTCACAGCAGCACCGCAGCCAGTCCGGAGTGAAAAAACTCATGTGTAGAGCTCTGTTTTAATACTTCTCCAACAGAGTCACTGCAGGGCCGAACCTAGACCCACAAACACACTTTAAGGGTCAACAGCTACAGAAAACTCGGAGTTTATGGTTAGAGGTGTTTTGGGGTAGATTACTGTTTGCTGCTTCACAAAATCCTCATGCTGCCCTTTTCGAAGCTCGGTGATGGAGCTGTCATTGACCACAAAAGCCAGCCGAAGCATGTTGGCGCTGAGGATACATTTATGCGCATGATTTTACTATACTCGGGAAATCTGGCGGGGGGAGGAATTGCGCACGCCAGTGCCAAACATTACGGATGCTATCCCTGAGGTGGAAATCACACCCTGCACCCCACCAGCGGGAGGTACCCCAGTTTTAGGGCCGGTGCCTCTGAGCTCGGAGGGTCCTTCCTCCTGAAAAGCGAGAGGCGTACCTACCCCACACAAGGATGTGTGAGGATTAGCTCTCTGTAAAAACAGACGTCTCCTCTGTGGATCGCAATTTATATTGTGCGAGAGGCCTTGCCCAGGTCTGGGTATGGCTGCCTCCAGCCCTGTGCAAACATGCGGGCTGACAGACGGTCTGTGACAAAGGGCTTCCGACGCGAAAGTGTTGGGACAGGTGATGGAGACAAACATGCGGATGGGAGAGGTGGAGGAGGAAGGTGATGGATGGAAATACAAAAGTAGCAGGACGTCTTTGTGCTTAATAGCTGCCAAGTGCTCCACTAGGGCTATTCGGCCGAAATAAAAAGCATGTGAACTCTGCAAAAAAAAAAGCAAAATACTGTAATTGCAATACA